ATATAAATATATAATTATATTAAAATATATTATAATATATATATTATTTACTAAAGTTATACATACTTCATATATGCAATAAACAAGTATAATGTAATATATACCTAAATATGCTCTAATTAAAGAACTAGAATGTTATATTAGAGCATTATGGTACAGCAGTATGATTGGCAATTTTTCATTGTTTGTATTTTATAAAGAGTATTTTAGTATACCTCGGCAGTTTTAAATTACAATTTTGTCTTTTAAGAAAGTCTTAAGAAATCTATGCTGAACATATTGGGCAGTTAGTTGCAAGACATCATATACTTCTGTGTACAGAAACAGTAACAAAAATCAGTATTAAACTAATTTAGAAAAATACGAATAATATATTCGATCGTTACTCTATTTGGCATCTAATGTGTACTTCTGATATTTTTTCTCTATTTATATTTTTTCTGATCCAAAGAAATATTTGAACCGCATAGTTATTTTGCAATATACGAAATAAAAACATTATAAATAAACTAAACCCATTATCGTGATTCAGATGAGTTTTGGTTTGTTGCATGCTACGTTTGTTGACGTGTGCAGATTGAGAATTGATTCTCTAAGTCAGTGTACACCTAATCGCTAAGTTTGCATAAGGACGTGAAAAACTAACCACGTGAATACTGCTTACTGTTCATAGTTAATGTATCTCTATGCTAGTTGTATTGTAATGTCAATTCCCCAATCAAGCGTACTACGACAGTGATATTGTTATATTCTGTAAAATGTCCCATTGGTCATCCGTGAAATGTTGCGCACAATGCTCTATTCCAGCCGAGGTCTCGAAATGTGTTCGTTTAAAATCCTCCAAAGTTTTTCTTATTGTCGTCTATAATATAATTAAATGTTTCTAACTAACCAAGTGTGTATGTGTATTGTTTTTTCACACATCATTTTAATAGCATTTGTCTGGATTAAATACATAGATCTGAATTATTTTGTATAATGTATAAATCAAAGAAACCAAATACCGGTATAGGTTGTGGATCGTTCATATGGCAATTAAGATGTTCGACAATTGAAGGTACATATTCAGGTACATTATAGGGATGAGCAGTAATAAAAGCGCACAATCCAAGCACACCAGAATGACGTAAACGTATCGCACTTGTAGCAATTCCCGAAACATATTTACAAGGTTTCTTCTTGTCGTACAATCGCGTCTTCGTTTTTCTTTTAAATTCCTCCTACAAAAACACAGCAATATGTAACTATACTTAATTATGATAGAAACTCGGATACTTACAGACACACACAATAAAAATAAATCACATAATATATGAGAAAAAGATGAGAAAACACATTTTGATAAAACTTGCCAGTAATTTCTCATTGTCCGTGATACATGTGCAGTGTATCAAACCACTGAGTACTTCACTAGCTTTCTCTCTGACTTTAAGACGATCATCCTCTAATAAGCGCAATACAATATTTGTTACGCAATCGATCCATGTGTTGTCACTAAGAATTATGCTCATATTGTGGAAGACCAGTACTTGCAGATACTCTAAACAGTCAAGTCTAACAGACCATGATAAATGTTCGGATGTTGTTTTCACTGTTGTCAATATAGTTGACATATCTTCGGGCAGTACGAGTGCTTGTGCGAGTGGTCCTAGAGCGGTTAAACACAAATTATAGAGTTCTTCATCATTTTTCGAAGTTCCTACTTCACATATAAGTGGGAATAGCTGATAAAATTCTGGCAGTGCACAAAACATTGTGTGAAAGAAAGTACAGTCAATCCACGTGCATACAATTTTCAAGATTTCTATAGGTATTTCATCTTGTAGAGATATGTGGTTCGATTCATCAAGTGTAAGATTAGCTGTGTTGTCATGTATATCTTTTGTTTTTTCCGGATTCTCAGATTTATTCGCATCATCATTTCTTATGAGTTGGTTTAAATGCGGCAAAATCTTGTTTATTAAACTTTGTATTCGCGGAGTTATGGAATCAAATGAGTTGCGTGAAATTTTAAGATCGGCCGTGAATATAGTAACTAGCATCGATCCGATAGTGTTGCGAACACTTTGCATGAGATTGGTTACTATTTGATTTTCTAAACGCGTTACCAAACGACCCAGCAGTTCTGTTTTTCGCCATGTAGCTTGTTTGAGGACACTTTGTAGTATGTCCAATCGTGTGGTTTGTGTGAACGAAGTTTTTTCTAAAGACGATTCCTCCATAAGACATTCCAACAACCAGTGAGACCTATTCGGATCTATGTCTTTCTGTGACTNNGANAAGCACTTTTTCCAGTTCACAATAGTATCCATTGTCGCATTCGATATTACAGTTCTAATGATGGGCAACATCGCCTGCCACATATCACATGTCATCTGAAATGGCCANTTTTTAGCACCTCTGATGAGTCCGGCTATGATTTCTGCGGCACATCGTTGACTACTCTCGTGNNAATCNTTTACTAATCGCTGCAAATGAGGTAGAAAATGCTTCAAATGGACGATCCCATGATTGCAAAACAAGCCTTTGAACAGCAAATATCTATAGAAGTCGAATATGACTACGTTGTCTTCACTGAAGTAATTTATAAGTTTTTCGACGTTCTTCGGATTATCGAAGAAAAGATGAACTTCTTTTTCGCAATCTGTTAGCTCGCGCGTTGCCGGGTCAAGACAAGGCTGCTTAGACGAAGGAGCGTCTACCTTCAAGACTTTTGGCCAAACATAATAACCGGTGTATTCTTCATGGACATATCTAGGCTCATCCCACTGTTCAGCGGTGAGCGGGCGAGTTTTATAATTGTACTGCAGCCACATATTATCAGGTCTTATCCCACACGTGACAGGTTGTGATTGTTGTTTTTTGGTTAAGGTATTCTTCTTAGATAGACAGTGTAACTTAACTTTTACCTTAATTAAAATATAAGAATGCTTACATGTACAATCTAAGAGTATTTGCTACACAAAATCTATACATTAAAAATTACCCTGATAGGAAACCATGTACGAACTTATGTGACAATATCTTGCACTGAAATTGTAATTTGTAATTATAAAGACATAATTTAGGAAATAGATGTAAAAACATTGATCTTTTCTGAAATATTTGTAATTGGTAGCAAAATTACTTTCCAAATACTATTTCGGCAAAAGAATAACGATATGGCGAATCATCTTAGCAGTATATTTGCAAAATTACTTTCACAAAAAAATTGTCAAATAATTGAGAAAAGAAAATCAGCTATGTGATGTTTAAAATATGTAGAAATATGATTGCGTATGAAGAAATGCAAGAAATCGTCGTCCCTCATGATGTCATACTTGTGCAATATTTTCACAAATGTGCCTATTAGGGTACATACCTTTCGACGTTTTCGCTGTTGTTGGTTCAACATACATGCCACTATTTTCGTAGCAATCTGTCTTTCCTGTACGGAATCGTGTATGAGAGCTTGCAAAAAGTAACATGCTGCTTGCGCGGGATACTTTTGATCTGGATGACGAATATCATATATAAAACTCATTGCCATTAATCTATGCCGCCAGTGTAAACATTTCTCCGATATACA